TGCAGATGTAGGCCAGTACTGAGAAAGCACTGTTGAATGTCAGAAAGCAGCTCAATGACAGAGCATCATCCCAATGGTACAATAAGGTTTCAATACAGATGAATGTTCACTAAAGCACTTATTATCCCTCATTTGGATGAGGGAGGTTGAGATAATGGGGCCGAAGTAATGCACTGGCATGGCATCTACTCATCCATTTTCTAATCTCTTCATCCAATTCTTCATCAGAGCCTCAGCAAGCAATAGGCACTACCAGGATACAGCTGGGAAGGAATGCCAGTCCATCACAGGGCACACACAGACACACACACAAATTAACACCAGAGACAATTTTCCCACAATCCAATTAGCCTACCAGTATGTCTTTGAACTGTGGGAGGAACCCAGAGCACCTGGAGGATACCCAAGCAAACATGGGGAGAACATACAAACTACATGCAGATAGCACTCCAGGTCTGCACTTAAACCCAGAGCCCCAGTGCTGCAACGTAGAAATGCTAACCACTGCACCACAAAGCCAAAACCTATCAAAGTTTAAATCTTTAATTTCTTAAATACACAACAATAACTTATTTTTTTATTCCAAGAGTTTATCTAAAAATACAAAAATGAAAACCAAAAAAAATAAAATTAGAAAAATTAATATTTTACACAGCTTCTTTGCTTTTTACACAGGGAGATAAAATATAATTAGAAAAACAAAGCTTTGTGTTTGTATGTGCCTGGGGATGTCATGTTCTAAAAGATCATAAACTGAGACTTGATTTTTATGACATTGGGCCTTAAGGTTTGATTATTAAAATAAGTGAATGCACAAAACACATGTTCTGGAATAGTAGAATATGACATGTCACAGGAATTTTGAAATGTCTCACAAATAAGTATTGATCATGTAAGGTATATATACGGTATATACTATATATTATACAGTATGATGGAAATATACCCACATCCTCGATTTATACTTTTGATTAAGAAATTCCACTTAATAAACTACAAATATTTCAAAAGCATACAATTTTATTAAAGTTACTAAATATTTGCTTTTGCATTTGGGAATGACTTTTTAAACTCGGGTAGCCCACTCCTTCTAAAAAACACATCTATTTTTTGAGGTTCTGTTTTAAGAACAGAAGTTGAAATGTTGATGTGTTTAAGTTCTTATAGCTATGCCTTAGGCATAAATACCAGTCTGATCACTTTTAACATTTACCTCTAAGACATGTTTTACTCTGTGTTGTCTTCCCTATTGTGATGCAGAAAGAAAAGAGGTTATGTATAATTAATACTAATGTATAATTCGGGGATCTTATTTACTAAGAGCTCAATTTAAATTCTGCCTAAGAATGTGAATCATTAGTACATATTGAAAGGATACATTAGAAGCTTAAAAAATACAGCATCTACATACAGTTGTTGAAGGTGACATTAGGCATCTTGGTTCTCCTATTGAAATAATCTATTATAGATTCTACATTTAAAAATATATATCAGGGATGACCTGATCCTGATTTACAGTAGCTTTACCAATTACAAGTTAATGAAAACTTGATAATCAAAATGTATCACAAGATTTCAGAGAAACCTAAAGACTTCCTGGATTTTAGTTCTTCTTGACCCAGGCTGACCTCCCTTGACATTGTTAGTTCAGCATACTGTAACTGGAAACATTAATTTCTCACTAACTATTATTATTTTTAAACAATGACAACTGTGGCACCGTGGCATGAGGGCATTGCTGCCTCACAGCCTGGGGCCCTGGGTTTAATTCCAAACCTGGGGAGCTATCTGTGTGGAGTTTGTATGTTCTCCCCAAATTCACATGGCTTTCCTCCAGATGCTCCAGTTTTTCTCTCACAATCAATTAACATATGGGTAGGTTAAGTGGCTACTGGGAAAACTGGCCCTAAGGGTGAGTCTGTGTCTGTGTGTGCCCTGTGATGGTCTGACATCCCACAAAGGGTGGATCACACCTTCATCCTGTCGCTTGCTGGGATCAGCTCTGGCTCCTCTGTGACCCCGAGTTGGAAGAAGCAGTTAGAAAATGGATGGATGAATTTACGGATACCTTTGCATTGTTGTCAAGACCACTCTGTTTTTGTCATTGAATATATTAATGCATCAGTGATGTGATATCTTCTTCCACTTTCATTATGTAAATATCTTGTAGTTCAGGCAGAAGATCAGATCAGTTGTAATATTTTATAGGACCTTTGAGAATTTATTTATTTAAAGTAGCCACTTTTTGAAAGAAGTCAAGGTGTCATTTTTAACAATGTCTTGGCAGCTTTTTTTTCTTTTTATACATTTTGATTAAATATATATTTGTATGTCTGCTGTATAAAAAACAGAGATCTGAGGAGCACCAGGTGTTTGGCCTGAGGAACACTTTGCATCACTGTACACTTCGTACAGATGTCAACTGATTTATCCCTTCATGAACCTCAGAAATCTTACACAAGTGCGCCATCTTCCTGATAACTACATAATTTAGAGGAAAAGATCACTGCATCAATGGAAAACACTATCACTTGTATTGCATGTAGCCAGTGTGCTAACATAAACCAGCCTTCACTGCAAGCCAAACTACTTTTTTTTTAATCTAACATTAAAATTAAATATAAAACACAAAGTGAATACATATAGGACCTTGTTTACACGGTTTCAAAAGTTGATCATCTTCAAAGTACTGAGAACAAGAGATTAACAGTAAATGGTGGGCTTTGGTAAAACTGGGATGGGAGGAGAACACAAAGCCAGAATGCTACAGTAAGTGGTACAACATGACCAGCAGGTGGCCCTCCTCCCCTCTACCCCCTGGACCAGAATTTCAAAACAGATGTTCCGCTATGATGACTAATGACACTGCTAGGAGGTGTTGTTCTGTGAATGAGCTACCAAACTAAGGTCCTTACTATTTGGTCATTAAAGACTGGAAGAGGTCATAACTGGGCGGTGCAATGGCTCTGTGGCTAAGGATTTACGTCTGTGGCTGGAAGGTTGCCGGTTTGAATCCCTCGGCTGGCAGAGGAATCCTACTCCGTTGGGCCCCTGAGCAAGGCCCTTAACCTCAACTGCTCCCAGGGTGCCGTATAATTGGCTGAGCCTGCGCTCTGACCCCAAGCTTCTCTCCCTATCTGTGTGTCTCATGGAAAGCAACTTGGGGTATGCGAAAAGACAAATTCCTAATACAAGAAATTGTATATGGCCAATAAAGTGATCTTATCTTAACTAGTGCGTTCTTTCTAGATTCTACTCTAGACTGTTACGCCCAAGGGAGCCTGAAAGGCTCGCTGCCTTTGGTTGCCACGGGAAACCATGGCATTCCCACGAGTACTTCCGTTCCATCTGAACTTGAGAGCCAGACCAGTGTAGATCTCAGCTTTTCAATACAACTATGACAGTGCACAGGAGCCGGCCACGGCATAAAACATACTTTACAAAATCAGGGGTTCCTCAATTTTCCCCGAAGCTTAGTTGTTGGAGTAACTTTCCTCTCCTACAGCTGCTCTTCTTTATAGTGAGGCTGCTAGTATTGTAGTTTAATTACAAGATAATGAAATAATTAAAACATTTTAAAAAATAATAGAAATTATGTTCTTATATATTGTCATCAGTTAATTGCTTTTGATTGTCTTGTCATGTTGTGAATGTTGTATTTCAGTGTCAAGTCCATAAAAGATGAGTGCCCTAACTTACTAGCCTTTTCTGACAAGTCTGATACATCTGAACAAAAGATACATGGATTTAGGCAACTGAACGTTTGGCATCATCACTCAGCAGGTAACAGATTTTACTGAAGAAGTGACAGCTACAAATACTGTATCTGTTGGCATGGACAAATATAGCCTTACTTCATATTGTATGCATGTGCAATTTATATATTCTGAATTAGGGGTGGGAAAATAATTTTATCATAATATGATAACCTTATCAAATCATATTATCACAATATAATTGTATGTGTATATTGCTTAAAGAAAAAATGTAAATGGGCAAATGTGCATAAAAGCACAGAACTGCAATTAATAGGCTATTCTATATTTTATACTATGTAACTTTTTTCTGATTATTTTAAGGAATGTTGACCTATTAATAATATCTAAAATAAAAACTACATGGTGTGATTTTAAAGATATAAAAAATCCCAATATATTTTAATAATATCTTCATATGTTGTATAGAGCTTTTTCTAAAATGTTGTCCCTCAATAATGTTATTAAGGTGATAATGTCAACTGGAATAAAAAAGCAATCAACATCTGAATCAACATTTGAATGTGTTTGTTAAAGTAATAAATAACTAGTGCAAATATGTAGTAAAATACAAAAATAGTATTATTATAATTACTTATTATTACTATCTATTTTACTAATGTATATTCGTATAAAATGATTGCAAATAAAGTCTAAACGTCCAGTTTATTTACATTCATATTATACTGTTGAAACAAACTCAGTGGTTTATCATAATAAGTCATATAAATGTTTGTCAATATTTAATTTAACTGATACTACTGTACTAAAGGATAGGCACACTAAAGCATTTATGCATGTACAGCATATGAGGCTGAACACTTTTCATTTACTTACAAATAACAGATAAACAGGTAATGTTTTCAAGAAAAACTTGAAAGTACGCATATTAATCAATTGTGCAAGTGCACTGCACTGTAAGAGCACAGCATTGATTGTAGCTGAATGTTTGCCAACCCCTGTGTTCAGATCACATGATGGGACAATCTGCCTCAGGGCACTGTTCTTTTCCTCAGTATGTTAACCATGGGGATGTGTTCCAGTTCGATGTTCAATGATTTTAGCTAGAGATGTGTACAGGCATGAGCTAATTAGTAAGAATGAAGGTTAAGTTCTGTTTTGCATGTAAATTATTTTCAGCTATCCAAAGGTACCAAAGAAAAAACAGGAAGCAATTAACTGATTCATATGTTCAATCTATCTTCATGTGCACACATTCATCCAAGCAGACAAAGATACACTTACATGCAGAAAGATTCTACATACTGATTCCCATTGGAATATCTGAAAAATAAATTACAGATACCATTCCTGTGCTCAAGAAGCTACAAGATGACTATACAGAGATTATATTGTGTTAATCGAGCATGACAAAAGATTCACAAATGCAAGTGGGAATGACTTCAAATGGGAATATAAAAGGATAACGCATTCATGATGAGAATGAGTAGCACAAATAATATCAATCCATTGTCACTTCTGGTTATTTTAGAATTACTTTTTTGTAAAAAAAAACTATTCACTGCTCTAATTAAAATGAGTCACCTTTGTTATATTTTAATTTATAACGACAGTGGAAAAACAAGTCATATTATTAGTCAGCCAGCTATTTAAAAAGTGATTCAGCTACCAAATATGATACCTAAATCTTAAACTTTTATCCAACCTTTGAATAAAAAAGACTTGTTTTTCATAATGTCCTGGCGCTTTTCAACACTTAAATTAAATGGCCTTTTCCAATAAAATGTTGTACATACCTTCCTATAAAGAGAAAAGTGGTGATGATTTACTTCCAGTATCTTCAGAGCATCCTCTAATGTGTTCCAGACCTTGGTTAGCTGTTCTATGCCTTAAACAAGAAGAGGAAGACAATGGTTCATTCTGAAGGCATTGTACAATTAGCCTCTCACCACCAAGTACAGGCAGCACACACAAGAACCCAGCATTCTCCCAATACCCTTATTGTTTCACATTGGGCAGGGCTCTTTTTCTCTAGTACTTTTATTTTATCAATCAAAGTCTTGTTAGATTTCATTCAGATCTTTTACCAATGTGTTCATCATTATTCCGATCCACATGACAGTGCAGCATATGAAATCCTTTCAAACCAAGGAGAATATTAAAAGCAAATATAATAGTGGAATCAAAGGTCCAATCAAAAATATCAAAAGTGGAAATTAAATGTATTAATAAGAATAATCATTATCTTTGTTAAAAGGATTTCTTTAAGTATGATGGCAAAGAAATACTACATTGAGTGGCAGAGTTAGATCACAGGCTCTAAAGTAGTTCAGTATTTAATATTTTGTGCAGAACCGTCCTTGTACAGTATGTACAGTGCCTTGCAAACTCCATGCAGACAGTACCCCAGGAATTGAACCCAGGGACCCAGCAGCTTAGTATCAAGCTAATATAAAGTAAGTACAGAATTAGCTAGCTTTACTTTTCTATCAAAAATAACTGTAGCATTCACTGTAATATGCTAATGATTCAGCAGCCAACTATCTGTCATGGTACAGTAAATAAGATCATAAGAATAGTTGCTTCCATATACTATATGCAACACGTTTAAATCGGGAAAACTCTCAAGATTATCAGTGACCACTTCCATCCAGCTTTTTCACTGTTTGAGCTTCTTGTTTGAGATTTTATGGATCAAAGCTAGACCAGAGCAGTAGTGAAAAAAACAGCTGTTCTATTCAGTCTTTTAACTCAACACTGGTATAAAAGTATGTATTGATATTTTTGCACAAAGACTTTGACATTCCAGACAGCTAGGATGGTATTCTGCACTTGATTGAAATGATTTCTACTTTCACTGTAATGTAGAATTTGTTTATCATGTGTGTATGGTATTTACGCTTTTTCTTTGTTTGTATCTCTGACATTTTGAGTGCACCACAAAACATCCCCAACCAGAGAGTTGGTTTGGCAATAAAGTTAACTATCTTTCTTTCTTAGGTATTATTAGCTCTTAATTATCTAGTCTTTGATTTGGTGTTCTACTTGGTGCTCCCTTTGTCTTTGCCTCCAGAGTGACTTTTCTTTGAAGTTACTTTGGTTTTTTCCCACACTTCCCTTTCAGTTTAAATGTTTCTGGATTTGTGGATTATTTTACTAAGATGAATGGTACCTGTCTCATTTAGATGTAATATATCACAAATATATAGATGATCTTTGCTATGGAAAGGTTTTCAGTGAAGGAGAAAAAAGACTTCTTCTGCACATGATGTCCTCATCCTCATGTGTTGTGGTGAAGGTTTAATGTGTGTAGTTGTTCAGCTTGACCAGGTTCTTGTTCAATTCATGAGAAAACCACTAATTTACTCCTGTGGCTTCCAATTTCGTTGTACCTGTAATGGATGGAAAGTGTGCAGTTTATAACAAGGTTGTTTGGGCCTACATGTGCCTTAATTTTGGAGTTGCTGTCTCCTGGCCCCCAGTGCAGATCTTTATTGCTGTGTTCTGAAGAATAGTCTCCAAAAAATGCCACTTCTCTTTTTGCTTTCCTAGCAGAACTGGCAATAAATGTAGTTGAGACCAGTGTTTGAGATTTTGGGTCGGCAGTAGTCATGTCCTGTGAGCTGCTGCCTTGAGTGCCCAGATCCTGAAAAGTAGCAAATTGATTTGGTGATGTTGAGTGCTATTATTTTAAAGCTGAGAACAGATTCTCTGTCTGGTGTACAGGTTGTTTTTCTGACAGTCAAGCGGTGCATGCCTCCCCAAAAGGTAGTTTTGACATTTCTTTTGGAGACCTTTTGAGTGCTTTTAGCTCCTTCTCCTTGGAACTAACTTTTTCATTTTGTGGTAGTTACCACAGATGCATAGTAGCCAGAATGTTAGGGTTCCTTCACAATGTTTTTTTTAGTATTACATCTATACTACTCATGATCAAGCAAATATATTTTCTTGGAAATAAGAAATAGCTTTTCTGTTTCTCTACAGATGCTTAAACGCTGTCAGATGTCCTGCTTACAATAACTTTTTCAGAACATCTTGAGAAACTGACTAGCCTCTGAAAATTATAAGTCAAAGTAAAATGTACATTATTAATGAATAAATTACTCTTGTTGAAAGCTAAACAAAATAAATTACTGACTAAAATATGTTATTTGGCAAATAAGCAGAAAATTATATTAAACTGGCTGATTATTCTCCCTGTAAGTACACTTTTTCTCTGAACACTTCAACATTCTGTCCTGCAGTGAAAGCTCAGGAGTCATTGACCTGGGTATGCATGACTACCTCTGGAATTAGCTTACTTGTCTTTGAAGTCAGAGCAAGACCTGGGTGCTAGCCAGCTAATTGTCTGGGATTTCAGCTGCTTTTCACAATTTCACAATTTGTCCTAAAATGATTGTTCTGAGAACTCCTGAGTATAGAACATTGAACCCATAATATAAATGACTTTATAAAAGTTTATTCCCAGACAATGATTGGTCTGAAATGTATACTCTGCAATAAATGATGCAATACTGGCCAACTTCTGAAATGTAAGACGATGTTGACCAGTATCCATAAAAATTTCAGACTTTTTGTTCATTTGTTTACCATACTGATGACTAGACCAAAAAAATGTTTTGGGGGTTCAAATCCCACGGTCGGCAGGGGAATCCTACTCCGTTGGGCCCCTGAGCAAGGCCCTTAACCCCAGCTGCTCCAGGGGTGCTGTACAATGGCAGATCCTGTGCTCTGACCCCAGGCTCTCCCTATCTGTGTGTCTCATGGAGAGCAAGCTGGGGTATGTGGAAAGACAAATTCCTAATGCTAGAAATTGCATAGGGTTAATAAAGTGATGTTATAAAGGAGAAAGAATATGAATAATTCCATTCTGAAATGAATTATAACATCTACTTTGTTAGCATTTTGAATAATAAAATAATAAAACACTTTACATAACAAAAACACAACACATGAGACGACTCAGCTGTATATTTTTGGTTCAGGACAGAATTTTAAACATGCAATAAACTCATGAATCTTGCCTGTTTACAAATTCATCATTCATCACCCATAGTCATTTCATCCACCAGAGAATCACAACAAACTTGAGACACAGAGTGCAAGGTAAAACTACACCCTGGACAAGACACATACACACAGGGACAATTTAAAGACACTAATTAGCCACATACATACAACACAACATTCATGAACACTGCAAGAACAGGCAAGCCCCACACAGAAGCCACCCCAAGTTAGACCAAACCCAGGATCTAAGAGCTGTACGGTACCACCATGCCACACTGATTTGATGGTTCACTCTTTTTAAACCTTGTGCAGATTCCAGTCTACAAAATATGGTAGATTGCCCATTCAATAGGTGCAGCGTCAAAGGGATTATCACTAGGGGGAGCTAAGAGGCTTTCTTTTTCATGTACTGTACCTTTACCTGACAAAGATCTTGGATATGAATGTGCACAGGGGGTTAATTAGAAGGATTTATAAATCAGGTGATAATCTCTTACTGTTTGGGAGCATGGAGTTTGTTAGACCAGACTTGTTTGTTAGACATGAGGATTTAGTGCAATACATGCAATAGTGCAATATGCTGTATTTGGCATACTGCATATTGCACTATTTGGTCATAATGTATTGCATTCACCCTGGGCATATAGCAGTTCTATTTATATTGAGTTTTATTTTATTTTATTCAATTTTTATTGTACAATTATTATGTAACTTTATTTTGTAACTTTTAATTATGTGATTTTTATTTTTATTTCCCCCCGGTGAGCTTGCAGAAAAGACATTTCACTGCCAGCAATTACTGCTGCTTACTGTATTGTTGTGCATTTGATAAATAAAGTTTGATTGATTCATTGATTAATTGATAGTGGTAACTATGCGCATGTGTATGTACAGTATAGAGTTAAGCAGGATACTGTATCTAGTATCTTTAGAGGATCTGTGTAAGAAGTGTTTTCACTAAACATTACAAAGATTTTTTTTATACTAATACTTCATTACACATTTTTACAGTTTCATACAAATAATATACAGTATTAAGCTAAAACACAAAATGAATGTACAATGACATATGTCAGTACAAATCTATTGTCAATCATGATTTTTTATTAATGTAAGATACAATATTATTTTTTTACAATTATCTTAAACTGATGTGTATGACATGACTTTGGAATTAAACTAGATTGGAACATCACAATAAAGAAACGAAGTCTGATTGATGATGCATAGAAATTTCCAATGTAATATAGTATCTTTAAGCTGGTGGCATTGTAATTCTCTAGCTTACAGAACAGATGATAACTATACTTAATATCATAAACAAGATTTACTCATACTAATACATATTATTTTCCCTCTTAGATCACTGTCCTAAAAATGTACATCCAATGTTTATGAGAAATTAACATAGAAATGTGCTAATATACAGTATACTGTACATATTGATATATTTTTTAAAAACAAGTGTGTTTACAAGGGGGAAATGCCTTGATACTGATTGAGAACAAATTATGAAATAGGTTGAAAGATGAATGTGAAACATGAATGTGACCACATTATCATAAAATCTCTATCAGTTAACTTTAAAAGCATAACTGTGCAACTTCTTTTTAAAGGTATTTGGGATAGGTATCTTGGAATATTAATTTTGCATTTACTGGCTCTGAATTCAATGGACTTCCATGAAGTAACATACATTTGACACCCAAAGAAGGCTCTACAGCCAAAAAGGAACAAGTAATAGGTTTATTCTATGCTGAAAAAAAAAGAAGAAAGAGAACACAACGTGTCGGCCCTGGAGCCTCTTCACACCTGAAGAAGGCTCCACGGCCGACACGTTGTGTTCTCTTTCTTCTTTTTTTCAGCATGGAATAAACC